TATAGTGATTGGCTGATGTAAACTGGGTGAATGCCATTTGAATGAGACTGGAGCACGGACACTAATGATGATGGGGTGGATCTTGTTGTCTAAAATGTTTGTAATGATTGACTTGCTGGTGATAAAGAAGTCAATGCGTGAATATGAGAATGAAAAAAGTGAAAAAAATGAATATTTTGTGGTTGGGTGCTGCAGATGCCAACTATCACCAAGACCAAAATTACTGGTTTATGAACTGGTTTATTGTTTCAGGGGAGTGCCAGATGCGTTTATTTCTTGAGATATTTGATCTGTCTATTGATGGGTCTAAGACTGTGTTGAAGTCATGTTACGACTCGACACAACAGTAAGCACCCAAAAGCAAGACTTACGAACACAGAAGCACAATTAAACAGTTATTTAATAGTGCAACAAAACTAATAGTGCAAGTGAGGCAAAGGGAAGGAGTGTCCAAATCCTCTCGGAGAGACGGTAAGTGCACCGGCAGACCGGTGAATCAGCAGGCAGGCAGGCTAGCGAGCAGGCAGACAGGAACGAGCACGCAATACAGGATCACACAGAGAGATATAGGATACTCAGGTGACGAGAAGTGAAAGACCACACAAGCAACTTTTTATTTGTTCTTCTAATAAATGTTTTTTGTGTGTGATCGAAACACTTCCAACTTACATTTGTCAGTTCAAACGTCTCCTTTGTCCAATGTCTGTCATCTGCACGGTAATCTTTTTCTTTGCTACTTTGCTGAGAAAGATGCTTCTTCACTGTTGAGTTGTGGTTTTGAAATGAAATTGAATGAGGACAGTTAAGGATCTTTAAGGTGTGTAGTTTCACAAACAAGAAAGTCTGATGTACTTTTCCCCATTGAGCACCAACTTCACCTGCTCCTTCTTTACTGGTTAAAGCCATTTTTGGTGTTCGAAAGGCGATGAAGTACACACCAAACCACAATATTAGAATTGAAGGCTGCAATTTTTCACAAGACTTTAAGAAGAAACTTTTGACCGTTTTTTGTCTTTTTCAAAACTGCAAATGCTGAAATATTAAAAAATATTCTTGATTTTCCTTCATAAACTGCTTTCTGACTTTTATTTTTGTGTGCCTCATTTATTGTGGCTCAACTCATTATCTCCATTTTAAAAACGGCAGCATGTGGATTGTTTCTAATAACAGCATGTCCCAGGAGGTTACATAATTGGGACGCAATGTAACCCCCCATAATACCAGACCCACTCAGGGGGGCTGACCAGTTCTCCAATGGAGGAGAGGAAAGAAGATCGAAGAGGCTGAACTGTACTCATGAAGACCAAAATGTATCTGTGGTAAGGTTCCTAAGAAGTTCCAGCGAAGGCAAACTTAAAACGGGGAGACCGCCTGAGGTGTACGGGAAATTAATAACAACAAGATCAAGAGGAAGAACATTACTTAGAAGAAAGACTCAACGTTAAAAGGTAAGTTACACAACCTGTTATCATCTAAAAAAAATAATATTTTAAATGTATAAAAATGGATCCGGAATATGGAGAAAATAAAAAAACAGAGAATAAGCTGTTTTAGGAATAATGTGAATTTTTTGCTCACAGCAAAAAAGGTTAGGTAAACGAAAAAGTACAAAAAACTCAAGCATGATGTCTCAAACTTGGTTATAGATATATATATATTTTTAAATGATATATGTTTCACCTTCCAGCTAAAGTCCATATTTGAAGATATTGTTAAATAACCTGAATCTGCGTGCAAGTGCAAATAGAATAGCTGTGTGACAGGCTTAATGTTGGTGGTGTGAGGCAGCAGTGATGTGCAGTATGGGGGGTGCAGGGAGAGCCAAACTGGACTGCAGTGTCCAGGAGGAGGACTGGCAGACCGGGCAGATCTACGTTGCTCACTGGCACAGCTTCGACCGAGTTAACCCAGAGCATTACAGGTCAGTAACAACATCCTCAACATTATCAAACTCCCATACTGAGACTGAATAACATTTAAAGGTATTGATAGAGACAAGTATGCTTGTGTATCTGTGTGAATCCTGACCCTCTAACAGGCTGACAGTGATGGAGGCACATCACTCAGAGAAACACTTGGAGGCCAGGAGGCTCCTCCAGCGATTTCTCTCCGGAGCCATCAGCAAGAATAACACAGAACCCAAAACGTACTCAACTAGACGACCTCATCAGCCAACATCTGACCTCCCTGCTATGATGGGGTCAAAGGCTACCCAAGGCCCAGTTCATGTCCAGGAGGAAGTCTGCTGTGGGACCATGAAACCGGGGAGCATTGTGCTGGAGACAAGTGGGAGGAAGACTGCGTTGAAGACAACAAAGTTGGCGAGGTTCCTGGGCTGAAAAGAAAACTACTATTTTAATCAATTCATGTTGCGATATTAGCTGAAGCCCAACTGTGTTTTATTTGAAGAACTATTATTATTATTTTTTGTTAGTGTATCTAATATGGTTGTTACATTTAATGTGTTTCTTTGGCTAAAATGATGAGATAAATAGTAATCAATCTGTTATTTTTAAATCAAAATGTATATTCATTACATCAACTGTCACCTCATCCGAGGGATCTTATAGTTATTGTATAGGTTTTGGTATCTTTATGCACAAAGCAGTTTCTGTGGTGCTCCTTTTCAGGATATGGTTTAATGGTAAATACATGTCAGTGCCTTTAAGAAGAACCTCCAAAATAAATGTTAAAATATAACAAATGTTTTATTCATGGGGCAATTTAAATTGAGGACATGATAAAGAATGTTACTTAAAAACTTGTTTATTCCAATGGTATAATTTTTATCATAAAATAATCAAAAAAATTGCAAAAAGCTTTTCAAGAGACAGAAAAATAAAACAAGTTAAAAGTTAAAATATGATATTTTTCATGTATTTATTTCTCAATAATGTTTCGAGTCTTTCTGAAATCGAAAAAAAGTTATAGTTTTGGTCCAAAAACCTTAAAAAAAAGGTTGCCAAATGCCTAAGAGAATGAAGAATGCTTTGCATCAACAATCTACTGGAGATGAAAACTCTTGTCCCCTTTTGTTCACTCGTACTCTGATTGTAATCTACAAATATCCCAATTTTATATCCGTCGACTGGCTGCATTCCAAAACCCAAATAACTCGTCCCCCTTAGACGCTGTCATATTCTGGATGTCTGAAGAGGGTTAATATGTGATGTGAGTGTGTTTGTGTTGGGGATTGTGGTTCAGCTGCCAGGGATGAGCGAGGCGTTAAGAGACTCCTGGGGAGAGTGTGTTTGATTACTACATGGCGACGCTCCACATTGGTTCAGCTGCTGCTTTGTGCGGTGCTGGGAATAGATTAATTCAATCAGGGAGATGAGGCTCTCTGTTTGGTCAGCTGAACACTGTTGTCATTCGTTTCAAAATTTTGCAAGCCACTTTAATGGAGATGAATGAAACTGGTACCATTACCTGGCACAAAAAATAACAAATGTATTTAAGAGAAGGGACGGATTAAGATTTTTTACAGCTCGAACTGAAAAAAAGTGTCATCTGAACCAATAATCATACATAGTAAAGCATTGTGAACCATACAGTTAGTGTTTAAACATTACTTTGATTGATATTTAGGTCCGAAGCACCAATGCACTTGTTTATTAAGGGCCTGAGCATCGCAAGCCGTGAGAAGCCGCTTGGTAAAATGACCCCATAGGGGCACCATGAAATTTTCAAAAAGGAGACCCAATATTTGATATAACCCAAAAAAGTCCTCTTGCATCATTATCAATGACCAAAAAGGAACTCAGCCATTGTGATTTGATTTTTAAAAATAATATCTGTTGCAGCTGTTTACAGGATCCACAATTCAACAAACTTCCATGCCATATCGAGGACGTGTCATGGCGCAGGGAAAACTTTGATGTCTGGCCATGTTACAGAAAGTTGTTTTAACTTCAGAAGAACGTCCAATGTGCTCAAAGTTTCATATGATTCATGCCAGTCCCATACTGAACACATCTCCATATCATTTATCTTCAAAGCATGGATTGTATAAAACTTGGATGTAGTCTCAGTGACTTCACCCATTGGTTTTGAAACAATGGCAGTTGCCATGCTGGAAATGTCATCTCAACTAATTTTCAGTCAACCCAGTAACGGGCAGTTAGCTCTTACCCTTTATTTAAAAATGGATGAGTTAAAAAGATATTGATTTAAAATGTCCATAAAAATATTTTGAGTGAAAATCCTAGATTTCTTTTCTTGAAAATTCACAAAGTTTAGTAAAATATTCCCCCACCCCCATACTTCTTCTTGGCTCTTGATCTGATGTGGCGCAAACAAGTGAAATGTGAGTGAAAATAATGTTAGAAAATATAGAAATTTCATTAAAATCATAAATTATTGATTCATTAAATTTGTTTGGGAGAAAGATAAGCAATGTTTAACAAACAAAATGTTACTTTTTTACTTGAGAAGAAAATGATGAAGCCCCTCGGACACCATGGTAAAATCACCTATGCATACATCATACTCATTATGATGGAAAGAAAAGATTAATGTTTTAAAATGTGAAGCACAAAATGAGGTCAGTTTGTCTCGGCCTTCAATAGTTTGAATGATCTAATACAACCTGTTAACATAGAAGACTTTTCGTTACCTTTGCATTGACTCATCTGTCCCCACTTGATACAAACATAAAGTGAAATATCAAACAGAGACAAAGATAACCTGTTTGATTTTTAGTAATAGATCTGTTTGTTCCTTTGGAGCAGGGTTGCCTGGGACAAGCCTGGTCTATTGTCTGCATGTAAAAAGCCCTGTGGAATGATTGTGGAGATACAGAGGGCCTCTGAGATGAGGGTGGAAGACCTGAAAGCCATGCGAGGAGTCCATTAGTGGGTCTAGTGTTGGAGGAAGCCCTCTGATGGTATCAGCGCCTGAGGGTAGAACAAATGCTATCAGGCAGCAACATGGGCAAAAAAAACAACAAGGGATTGCTATCTCTGCCTATGTAGCTCAGTGTAGCCCAAAGCACAGACATAATGACACACATGCACAGGTATATAAGGCAGTAGATCTGGTGACAGTGCACCTGAATGCTGAGCATTAAACCAAGCTGTTAGGTTGAGTCCTAAAGAAAACAGGAGTATGGAAGACAAGAGGACAGAAACAGGAGTAGCAGCCATGGCAGCTTGCTACCAGAGATTTGATCCTGCAGCATATCTGCAGTATAACTACACTCCACCACGGGCGGACTTTGAGAGGAAGGACAGCATTGTGCCGTGGAAACTGGCCTGCTTGCACAGAGCTTTCACTGAAGGTAAATAGTCAAGGTGATGGATTATGTTCAGGGTTTTTATAAAGCAATTCATGCTCAAGGCATGATTGAAAACAACTTTGATTATCTGTTATGGTAATGATATACTTTAAATGTGATTCATAAAATGTAATACGTTTAAATCTACTAAAGAAATCTTGAATTTTGCAGGATGGCAAATGTCCCTGATTATTGATGTTTACAAATGCTTTGTCATCCTCTCTCTCTCTCTCTCTCTCTCTCTGTCTCTTCAACTGAAAGTGGGCGAAAAACCGTTCATATCCAAGAATAAATTATTATTTTTTGTAGTTGGTGTTTCAGAATATTTGAAAAGGTTGTTATTCAGAGAGTGAATAAAGGTCTGATTGTAAAACTATTTAAATTTTTAAACCATTATCTTATAATATTCCTTATTTCTCAGGGATAATTTTCAAAGAATCTGATATTCTTAATAAATAATTACACGATAACTCTCAATGTTTTCACTGTAAAGTGCAACATATCCCATTCATATAAGACATTTGGATGTAAACCGAGGCATTTCATGAAAAGATTCTCAGTAAGCTTTCTTTGCCTCTCCAGGTGATGTAAGTGGTGAACTACTGGTGGACATAGGTTCAGGTCCCACCCTGTACCAGGTGCTGAGTGGCTGTGAAGTCTTTAACCAGGTCCTCCTCACAGACTTCCTGGAGGTCAACAGAGAGGAGCTGAGGCACTGGCTGCAGGGCGAGGGAGGCTGCAGCCTGGACTGGACCCCGTACCTGCAGCACGTCTGTAAGCTGGAGGGACGACGGTACGGCTTCATCCTAAATCTTTAGTTTTTTTTTGAAGACCTGAGGTTTCTGAAGAAGAATGGTTGTTAGGCTGTCAGTGTCAGGATATTATCTATATGTTTAATGTAAAGTATGTTATAAAAGAAGAAAGAGTTAATTTCTTCCCTCTCTCTTTCCTTGTGGTTACAAATAGTATCCATCATAACGAGTTGACGTTAAACAAGTAGAATATTTACCCTTTCACCTTCTTTCTTGAGCACATAAATACGCCAAATTGCAAATAAATTCTAAACATAACAGTGCAGCTCAGGCTAATGCAAGTTTTTTTTTAGCCTCAAAAAGTATCTGGTTGTAAACCAAAGACATTTCTTATAGACTTTTATACAGGTGCTAGGTGGAGAACAGTCAGGTGATCATTAAATTATGATCCATCCTGAGGGGAACATACAAGATTATACCAAATATCTTGGAAAACCATCCAACAGTGGTTAAAACATGTGGATTTGGATCACCAAAGAGAGTATGGCATTCATCCTCTTGGGACTATGGCTGACTGTGCTAAACATAATGTGAATTCATCCAATGTGTGCAGTAATATTTCAATTTGGACCAAAGCAATGAACCAACTGGCCTGTTACTATCACTGAAGCGTTGTCCCTGGAATAGATACTAACACCTTCAACATTATCAATACAGAGTCTTCTGTGGCATTCAATCATAGACAATGCTGTTTTTATGTCATTTAGAGGTTTTTCAATATTGTCTCTGCTAGGCCGTCAGCATGGACAGAGAAAGCTGCCAAACTACGGCAGGTCATCACAGATATCCTCCCCATCGACGTGCACCGCCCTCAGCCTCTGGACAGTGATGTCCTTCCTTCAGATGGGGCCGACTGTCTCGTGTCCTGCTTCTGCCTGGAGAGCGTCAGCCCTGACCTGCCGGCCTTCACCCGGGCCCTGGGTCACATTGGGAGGCTCCTGAGGCCGGGTGGCCACCTCCTGCTAATTGGGGCCCTGGGAGAGAGTTACTACTTTGGGGGACCTGGAGTAAAGATCCCTGTGGTCCCTCTGAGCGAGGCCCAGGTCTGTGCTAGTTTGAGTGAGAGTGGCTACACCCTGATCAGGCTGGAGGTGTACACACTGCCCCAGGACATGAGGGTGGGGGTGGATGACGTCAGCGGGGTGTTCTTTGTTAAGGCAAGAAAGGATTGAAAGGGAAATTGGGAGAGGAGGAAAAGATGATTGATAAAGGTCTTCAAATGAAAAGTGAAACTAAAACCACAGATTAAAAATCAAGTGATATAATATGATGGATTGAAATGAGGTAATCATGGATAAGCACAGCAAAAAATAGTGATGCTAATACCCACGCAAGGTTGCTAAGGTTTTTTTATGCTCATTTAGAAGTCACCTCATAGAGACCCTCAATTATTTTACAAATATTCCAATGGACTCCATTTTATTGTATTTTCTGAAGTAGAGTGACCTTCCTTTGAAAAGCCAAAAATGATGCTTAGTGTTAGAAAAGTGATCAGACTTTGCCCCCTTCAGTTCAAACACAGCAACTACAGCATCATGAAAGTTATATTTGAAGCTTGATCCAAAAGCTGGACTGGTTGAAGACCTTGAAGACGTTTCAAGCAGTCCAGTTGCCTTTGAATCAAGCTTTGAATATACAATGACCTGGATGACTGATAGCCTACACAGACATGAATGTAATGCTTATATTTTTGTTTTCAAAAAAATATACATTATCATACCATTTATCCAACATCATGTGCATTTTCAAGCTGTTAATAAACACTATATTTTGATATACTTCAGTAAACTGTAATCCAGTAAGGAAACAACGTGTTATCTGAAGTGTTTTGTAATTTGTGATAATGCAAATAAAGAAGCAATGCTAGCACAATGCTATTTTGGTGGTTTTTAAAATCACAGCCTGATAAATGATGTTGATAAAAAAAAAAAAAACACATCTCATTGGCTACAAATACAAATATACAAACTTAAAATTTGATTGTAGTCCGATAATTAAAAAGTAATATAATAGTACCTCAATACAAAGCACTATACTCCAGAGTATAACTCAATATTGGGGTTGGTATCATTTTTTATTTTTTATTTTACATTAGCCTTCAGATAATTGTGTAAGACTCTGATTATGTATTTAGAGCAATTGAACACTGGGCGTCACTGTTTTTCCATTTGAGTTGCTCCAGATGTGCATCAGCCATGGACTGACACACATCTGAATTAGTTCTACATCTGTGTTGATTTAATGTTTAAGATCCAAGTGGTGACTAATGCTAAATAAAGCCATTTAGTTTCAGGAATTACATTATGATCGGATCATTGTTCATTCCTACTGATTAATTATACAGATATAAAGTCACACAAACACCATACTCCCATTATAATAGTTTTACTAGCAACCAACACAAAACATCTTTATATACAAGGTCAATAATTCATGTTCAGGCTCATCATGTATGTTTAAAAAACAAAAAAGGTCCTCTCCAACATCCCCAACAGGCCGTGCTTGCTAATCATGGTGTTACAAAAGCCTGTACATATTTTTACACAAGAATAAACATGTGCTGTAACATCATGATTAGTTTGATTTGATTGATATACGTCTGGTTTCGTCTGACGTCTGACTGCACTCCGTTCATCTGTAATCCACCCTCCTTTGATTTCCTGTACATGGCATGCAAATGTCTACAGTACAAAGTTGAGGAAAGCAAACTGAAAGAGTTGTTTTATAGTTTTTATGGGATATATTACAATATTTCATACTGTATATGTATCATACTGTTGCAGATTATGTAATAGAATATGTGTGCCGTATACTATAATAACCATCAAACTGACCAAACTGAATGAGACATATTACAAAATAATATTTTGATCGTTATAGATAAAGTGATCAAATCAACCTTACATGTTGCATATGTTAGCACATAATGTGTCTCTGCTATATCTGATGAGAACACAAAGTCTCATCTGGAGCTCTTTGTTCTAATTCTTATAGTTTCTTTCTTTTGTATATGTAAGTGTCCTTGGCTGTTGTGTTTATAACCTTGTTTTTCCTCAACTCATCAAGACGTGATTTCAATTTCAGATCTCAGGTTAAACTTTTCCTCTTACATTCACATCATGATTTTGACCCTCCTGACTGTCCATGTGTTTTCGCCCCTCTCTGTTACGCACATTGAACTCTTCTGCAGCATGCACGCGCACACACACCCAAAAAACACACATTCACATGTACACCGAAGCACACACACGTATTGCAACTACATGTGTTATGCAAGGCTGATCCTAACTAAAACTCTGTCGCCATCTGAGTGTTTTTCTCAAGTCATTCTCCCTTTTCTTCCTCTCTTTCTTTGGCCTCTTCTTCGTCGTCTCCGTTGTGAGGGCTGAGATCACCGCATCCTGGTCGGCTTTCTACCGTCACATCTGACAAGATAAGGGATTTCGAAGAACGAGTTACGGCTATGTCTGAAAAAACTCTCAGTATAAGATGGAAAATGTGGCTTCAATGACCCACCTGTCTGCTGACTCTCCTTTGCATGTTCATCCTCCTCCTCCTCCTCAGAAGACGGCTCATCTTTATCCACAGAGGACATGTCTAGTGAGGACAGGTGGGCCAGGGCCATCCTCTGGACGGCTAAAAAGACAAATCAGAAGCTAGAATAAAGGAGCAGTGTGCCAAATTGTAAAGTTCTGTTCTGTTTTCTTATACTGATGAACAGATGAGGGATGATGAAAAGATATGGATATATGACGTACATTGTTTATGTTTGTGTATGAATTTTGTTTTTTCGCTATATAAGGCATAAAAATAGAGCAACGTTATTATATATTTGGACTGAAGGGTTGTCAGCATTAACTTGTTAATCGCGATTAATTAAGGCCTAAAATCAAAGCATTCATTTTTCTTAAAACTAGATCTCTACAAACTCCTGAGGAAAATATTGGGCTCATTAGCTACTAAATGCTTGACTGTGATCACAAGCAAACAGCAACCCTACAGCTAAAGCAGGCAAAGCAATACTCAGAGCATTCACAGGGAGTCAAAACAGTTAAGTTGACGGCTTCGAAACTTTTTTCATCATCTCGCTGGTTGACAATTTCAGGCCTGTTTCAACTTCAAGGAAACTCAGCATCACTCTTTCAGACAAAGATGAATATATCTTATTTTGCACAGTTGACCTTTAAACAGAAAATGTCCCATAAAAAGGTAGTTATTTAGACATTATTAGTAAAATGTCATCTGCATAAAGATTGATGTTCATAGTTACAATTATTTTGTGCATTTTCTAAAGGATCACATTGATAAATTCATTCATTTATTTTCCATATTTGTTCTTCTTTATTAGTCCTGTCTGCCTAACCTAATGAAAAACTGAGACAGTTTGTTGACATGTTCTTTTTCTATCACACAGACCACACATACCATGCTGTATGTGCAGAGTCCAGACTGTACATATGTTCTCCTGTGAGTGTGGGATTCTCTCTCGTCCAGACCTGGACATTAGTCCCTCATTATTGTATGACGATTATTAAGCAATTTCTATAAATCTCTGCAATTTGAAACATCTGTTTTGAATGTTTTTGCTAAATTGTAAATTACGTTTTTAGAAATGGTGTATTTTCCTGTGCTTCCTGAGGTATATGTCACCCTCTTGTGGTGGTTATATTTATTGCCCCAGTCTTCGGTTGTTCAACAGGTGATAATGATTTTTGCTTATTGCCACAAACTAGAAATGGCTGTTTGTCTTCTGCCACATTCGTCTGAGGAAGGTCACGTCGATTGAAATGTTGCCCTGTTTAATTAGAGTTGCCCATTGGGAGCTGAACAGTGTGTGGACCTTTTTTCTGCACAGTTACATTTGTTACACCTTTAAATAAAGGGTGCCCTGCCATATTCATGTAAACATGTCTGAATACATATCATTTGTTATTGCCTTTGCCATCGTCTTTGTAGATAGATGTTCAACATGTTCAGTAATATTTTCTAGGTCGTTTAATGGTCTATATAGACCTTAAAACGATGAGAGCGCCATCTGTGGATGTGGTTGGGTGTCTATATGCATACCATAGTCTGTAAATAATAATGTTAGAAACAGTCTATGATGCATGTTAAATGGTAAAGGGACTTGAGCTTGTATAGTGCTTTTCTAGATCTTAAAATGTAACATACAACACCAATAGATTTGCAGCAAAACTATGTCGACATTTTTAGCTGCAGCAGTCATGATTATGACCGTAAAAGAACGTATGTCCAAAAACCATGTACACTGTATGTTTTTATATGTATGAGTCATTGCGTATTTGTGTGGGTGTGTGTGTGTGTGTGTGTGTGTGTCCATGTTGCAGCTGTTTGCCTAGCATATAATCCAGGATGATCCAGAACAGACCCACAGCTGTCTCTTCTCCTAATCTCACATAGCGCACACATTTATTCGCACACAGACACAGAGAAACACACACACACACACACCTCTCACTGTGTTTTTTGGATAGGCACATATTCCAAACAGATAAATACCACATGGCAGCCGCCAAAGCAGAATTAGGTCTCCTGACTTGCCGTAATTTTTTGCCATTGGTTGGAAAACATATTTGTGAGGATCATTCAAGACAGTACATTTACCTTTGAGTGAGGGCGGCTGGTAGGTTGACGAGTGAACCAGTTTGGCTTTCAGGGCTCCATTCTCCCCCAGCACCCACTGCAAATAAATCATCAAAAACATGACTTCATCAATACAGACTGTGTGGTGCTGATGTTACACAGCATAGAGCTCAGTGTCGTATCACTTGAGATTTTTAAAACACAAAATAAAACAAGTGTTCTAAACACAAAAAAGTAAATTAATATATAATACTTGGCAATATTTGTATCTGTTCATACTACAATTGAGACATGCCTTTGAAAAAAGATCTTGTACAAGAGAGATGGAAACAGTTTCATTGAACTGTTAGTTGCTTAAAGGAAAAGAAAAAAATGGTAGTGGAATTTTCTGTTGATAAATGGTGTAAACCAAAAATATAAACGATTTGTTTCATATAGAATGGTTACAATTTAGAGGCCTATGCTAAGAATAATTTTCCCAAAAGACCAATATCCCTCTGTGCAAAGTTATGTTCAGGAACATTTCCTTAAGCTTTAAAGATCGGCAGGTTAAATGCCACTCCAGAGGAGGACAGAGTTTGTTTGTTGTGGGAGGTGAAATTGAGAATTACATTAATTTTCTGTTCAACTGTAACTGTCCCATCTGTGATGGTGTAAAGGATGCACTTTTTAATCTTTCTTTATTAGAAAAATGTCCTCCATTTATGCTGATTTCTTCTGGTTGGAGGATAACAACATTTTTTAGTTGTCCTTTAAAATAGGAACCTTTTTGTAGCAGATTTCATCTTTAAAGTCTGGGAGAACGGGCAGAATACATTATTTCAGACTGAGCTGTAAAAGGAGCATGCAACTTTTGTAGGAGTATTTATGAATTGTTGGACGACTGCAACTGTATGTCTTGTGTCTACTAAACCCATAAGGGTTGAGCACTTTGAGTGCAGTCCATCGTGTTCCCATGCTTTGATCTTTTTAAGGCAACAGGGAGTTCCCAACCATTGGCTTTAGGAAAACTTTTCATTCATCCTGCATGCAATATATGTGTGTTTGTCTATATTTGGATATAGACAGATATATGCCACCTTAACATTCACTCCGGCCAGTTTAAATCATTTCATAGATGCGTGAAAGATCTGCTTTGTGTTCATAGAGCAAGAGCCAGAGGTAGCAAAATGAGGGATTATCAATCGAACAAACTGAAATTCACACCCCACACTCAACACAAATCAACTTTTCATTGCAATGTGTATTTGTGTGTGGAGACTACTGAAAGTGATAGATCAGCAGTGAGTCCAGCCTCTTCTCTCTTTCGATTTCCTTTAAAAAAAGAAAATCTAAAATACTGCTGACTAGCTGATTTACCTGGTGAGGGCCTTTGTCTTCATCTGGTGATGGAGGGTCTGTTAGTCTGAAGAGAGTGGCTGGTGTCGGCCTTCGACGTCGGATCTTAGAAAAGAGGAAAATACAAAGATTAGACAATGTCTGCAAACTATGCAAAACGCTGACCCCAAAAGCCCCCATTCATAACTGAAGTAACAAGGTGTGAGGGATGTCTGACTTATGCCTTTCGCTCATCCAGCCTAACATTTTGACTGCGGAGGATTTTCTTCTGTGACAACTATGCAATGAGAAAATGCACATCATTACATAACAACATTCAAAAAGATTGTTGTCCAGATTATTCCTGAATGAGGATTAAATCTTGTCATAGACGGCAGCCGGATTACTAAAAATTCCTTGCTATTTTACTGCATGTTCTTATCATTTGGTGGTAATCATTAAGGTTCCAGGGGGTCATTTTATCTTGTCCATATATAAAAAAAAACCTAACTTGAACAATATTGGTGCTAAATGATAAGAACCTTGCTTTTTTTGTCCTGTGCATTTCACCACTACTATTCAGTCCAACTTATTTGGCATTCTTTAATTTACTATCAGGGCTTGATGTAGCACATTTGGGACCCCATAGCTTTGTTTGGTTTGAGTCAAGTTTCAGGTTTTTAGGACTAGAGGTGACCCTATACCGCAACCTACTTGCTCAAGAGTGTTTTTATCACTTCTTGCATCAATGATCTCTAGGTCTCTTTAGGGCAAAATCTATGATCTGATTCAGACGATTTATAAAGATATAAAACAATCAGGTGCGATTCAGTTCAGTGCGATTCGATCCGATATACATCAATCACTTTGGAAACTGAATCCAAAGTTATTTTATGCAAGTAAAAAAATATATATACACAGTGCATCACTTCAAAATAACATGTCCTCGTGTTTAGATCTTTTCCAAGAGACAAGAAAATAGGCCGACTGTACCAACAAATATTCTGACATTGTGTATATTACGTGTCTTTTCACAAACTCATGCCCAGTTGTCTCACTTCGACAGGTAGTTAGGGGAGAAATACATTTGGTTACTAACTCAGAGGTCTAAGCTCCTCATGGCTTTGTAAAGCTCTGCAAACACTTTGAGTATTTAATTCCCCAAAGAGCCAAAAATTCAAGCCGATTTAACTATAATAGGAAATGAAAGAAAAACACTTTGACAAAGGTCTGTGTGCGTCTGGTTAGATGGATAGGAAATCAGTGCTGTTGTGTTGGAATTATATCATCATTTACAGATTACACATGATATTTAGGCTTTGGTTGTGATGTCACTCACTCTGCTTTCGACAGCTTTTGTTTAACTTAGTTCTTAAATTGATAAGCATTTCCGGTACACTCTTGGAAAAATACTGTATTTTATATATTTTAAGCCATACAGCAGGGTAGAGGCAGTGACTTTGACAATGTGGCTGGAAAAATGCTCTGCTTGCTAACATTTTCTCTCCTTGTAATGGAACTTAAGCCACTGTCACGCTACATGAGCAAACATTAGGCAACTTTGGAGTCAAACTCAGAGTTTCACGAGATCAAAGACGCTCAACACAGTATGCAGAACAAGCAGCAAAGCAGTTTACAATGTTAAAATCCACCGGTTCGTAGTACATTACTTACCGATTCCAGGGCTTCAGGGACCAAATCACATTTTTGAGGTTAAGATGGATAATTGATTTCGATACGGGAATCTTTACACCCCTAGTGTTTTAGTAATCCAGCATTATGGCTTAAAATTAATAAATGGACATTGAAAACAAATGAGAAACCACAATACATAATCAATATCAATTACATTAAGTGCTCATTTGTCAGTCATCCAGTGTGAACAGTGGAGAAGTCTTGTTGGCAAGAGTCAGCTCTATGAGCCGGCTTTTTGGGAATGATGGGAGCTGGCTCCAGTTTGAGAGCTAGTTTCCTTTTTTCCCATTTTGTTGATATTTAATAACTCAGTTGGGCCAACTTTTACTGAAGGTGAATCCACTGACGGGGATTATGACATTGGGAATCCGGGATACAAGCAGTGAAACTTACACTGGCAGAGTGGAGACTCTAGTTATAGTGGGCAACTGATCCAGTTTGTTGTCTGGACGGAACACAAAAACCTGGAATTCATCTGTTCAGCTAAGTCTTTAAACTGTAATCAACTAAGGTGGTCCAGCTTCATCAACCATTCAGATGTTTGCTCACCAACAGATCAAGTTTCAAAAACATCAAGCCCTTTGCCTGTGCTCAGCAGTTCCTGTCTGTCTCATCCTTGAAAAACCTCTCCTTAGTTTGTATGATGGTGCAGTAACTTGGAAGATGGATGACATGGTTAAGCATACTGAACATACTGCTGTCATAGCATGTCCAGATAATCATCTGTTTGTCCTTGCCCAGTGTATGTCCTCAAGTTCTCAAATGGGGGCTCTCTTCCCACCTAACTTGGCACCCTGAGTTACCGCACCAATTGTCCCAAATCTCATTGGACTTCAGCATTGGCCAACCACCTCAGCTAGTTTTCCAAGAGTGTCCAACTCATTCCATTGCCCAAATTGCCCACTGCTGCAGAAAACTGCCTAGGATGTGTCTCTCTCTCTTTGCCAGACTGGTTCGCTTGTTATCTGGTTTGCTTGTTTTCAGCACTATGTTCAAAGTAAACTCAACTTCCACCTTGACTTTGACTGGCTTCTCATACTTTTGGGTTCCAATTTTACAGCAACAGAAAACTTGACAACTTGTGGATTTTTCTTGAACGTCTTTTTTTTTTTTTGAGAATTCGAGGTCTGAAGCCTCTAGTGAGTCATACATACCAACAGTTACGCAAATGAGTTGGTATTTGCAGAGATGTAACTTTAAATCGGACATCACTGGCTTTTAATGAGGACAACCTCGAGCAGGTACATCATCAAAGTAATCTTATTTTTTTCACAGCATACACATTATAAACCATTCTACATTCTAAGTCCTTTAATAATTGAAGTGTATTCTGCTGCCAATGCTGATTTATTTGGAAAATGTTATTTTCACCCATGATTCGGTCCAAGAAACGCCAACCTTTGTTTTTTTCAAAAATAATAAAACACCTTCTTCTGGCTAACAATAACGAGGGGTGTTATGAAATATACAAAAGATTCATCACTCTCTCTCTCTCTCTATGTTGTAACGTGTTATGGTAATAAGACTGTTGTGAAATAAGAGTGGCTGCCAGCAGCGTAGGCATGAAACATGTGGGCGGCTCTCACTCTGGAGTAACTCTTACTGCCCTAGCTTTGCTGTGTGTTCTGGACTCATACATATTCATCAATCAGATACTAGAATTAAAACACGCTGCCTCTGTGGGGGCACACATTTAAATATGAATTACAAGACATCCAATTAAGAGGTGAGGAATGTGTCAACATGAACATTTGATCCAACAAGCAGGAGGGATTTCGCACACATTCACTGACACACTCATACCTCTCAGACAAAAGGATGTGCATTCAAAGGACTGAAATAAAGGCAAAGCACTTTTCAGACACAGTGACCTTTTCATGGGTGCTTTGCTAACACGGCCGCGGAAAAGGTCAAGCACCTACTGGGAACATTTTTCATCAGGTCCTTGTCGTGCATGTCTGAGAGGGTTGTACCTGTGTTGGTTGAGGGAAGGAAGCTTCAAACTGATTTGATTTGTCACTGATTATAGCTGCACATATCTCAGAGTGTGCAGAGACCACAGCTGGTAGAAGATAGAAGATTTATTTTCCTTGTTTTTTTGGTTGTTTTTTTTTAAGGTAAATTGTGTTACTTTATCACATCAGACGTTTTAACCTTCCTCTTGAAAGGAGGACGTGACTGTAACTGATATGGGCCTTGTTGTATGTGTTCAAAATTCTGGATTGTGGAGGTCAATTTAGTTTTCAAACTAATTTACAAACTATTTACAGAACCAGTCACCCTGATTATGTACACACGTTTTTTTTTTTTTTACTTGTTCAATAATTTTTCAATGATTATTTTAGGGGATGGCAGCACAAAAAGATCGAACGAGACGTGCCTTGGCTTTGAATCAAGTGGGGAAAAAATAGATTATGACTGCCTTACCAAAAATAAAGTATTTTCTGCTATTTAAAAGTTCAGGACATTTTTAGGTATTTCAGCTCCTCTGCGATGACTGGTCTCCTCTCAAATGTCTAACACTGTGATAACATGTGAGAAAAAAGGTCAAATAACTGGCTCTTCCTGATTGACTCAATTTTTACTCAAAATAATCTGACTAAAAATGCATTTTAAACAACACTATTGAGTTTTTAACAATTTGTCTCTACTAAGTGTATCGTAAAATCTTGTAAATAAATCTTGATGAGAGCTACATCAACATCAAATTATCCATTTTGGTGGGACACAACATGCCTTGACAGTGATAGCAGGGACAGCAGGATTAAAGCTGCACTTGTAAATGTCTGTCCCCCAATTCAGAAATGTTCAGCAAAATTAGAAATAGCAACAACAACAGCAGGGCCTCAGAAACCGCTGGAAAGAGTAGCATACACACTAAATCATTCATCCATCCACTTACTTTATGTGTAGGCGGAGTCGCCTTCATGGCGATGCAGAAATACTGTAGATGTTTATGATGAAGTTGCATTACCAGAAAGATACAATGACCTGAGATAACCTTTCCCCTAAACATTGAATGTAATCAGTGAAAGCATACTGTGCTGTAAATCTGTTGCTGTGTTCATTCCACTTCAACCTACTCTGTAAATAATCCCATATATATGTTGAAACTCCCTCTTTCCCACCTGACCTATTTCCAAAGAGCAATTTCTGATCAGTTGATTAAAGACTGTCACATCTGATATGAAAACGTATCAACACGGCAACTAGACTGGAAATACAATCCTGATGCAGTAACTGCCTCAATAGTCATAGCATGTGTGGGTGAGCGGCATACACACTAACATACTGCACACTTACGCACTTCCTTGATTCAATTATGGCAAGTAAATGTGTTTTTTTTTTCCTGATATCTGCAACCGAGCCAGTCCAAAATGATCTGTTATAAGTCTACATTTCAGAAACCCTAAAAAAAAAGGAGAAAAGAGGACTTTTGACAAACCCCCATAATGCAACTTAATCCCAATCATGCAACAAAAAAGGTAGTTGTGTAACACTGCAAAAGCAGGTGGGCAGTAAAGGAAAAAGGCGAGATGTTGTCTGAAATAACAAATACAATAAATTTGACTTTGAAAGTCTAAAAGAAAGTTTGTTGTAAGTTTTGATGGCAGCAAAATGCAATCAAATTTCCCGGGGTTTTAGCCCCAGGAAATGTGCCCCTTCAAGTGTTTTGAATATTCAGGAGCAGATAGAAGTTTGCTGGATTTGTAGAGTTTAGAGCTCTTGGCTGTGCTGCAGTGGAAATTTGTTCTTCGCATTAGCTGCCCTTGCCCTTGATCCATGCCTCAGTCATCCACAGCTAATCTCTTTGATTTTAATCAGTCCTCTCCTTGGCTGATGGTTTTTTCTTACATGCCTTCTGTCAGTTACTCTTTTTTCCTACTTCCTCTCCGTCCTTGGCAACTCAACACTTTGTTTGACTTGTTTTCTACCTCCCACTCTTTTTTTCTTATCTCTTTCTTCTTCCTTTTTTTTTTTTCCATTTCTTTTTTTCCATGCTGGTGCTGTCCATTTCAATGCTAATGTTATGGCCTGTTTATGGAAATGTTTGACACACGAACTTGGTTGATCGTCACATATCCTGTTCCTCTAGATACTTGCAGAGATTACGGTCACCTTTAGTGGTTATTGGTGGCAGGGCCTGCCTTCCACCAAAGGGCACCAAATGGATGATACACCCTTCTTAGTCTATTGATATGACAAAGGATTTGAAGAACAGCATCTATCAGACTCTTTTGCTTGAAGAAATCATTTATTAACCAAATCCTTAAAATCCACTAAGAGAGCAGCAGATTACCAAACAGGTGGCAAATCACACATTCATGAAACATGAATGAGAAATGTTCATAATCATCTACTCAGAATGTTCTTTGAAAGAGATCAGTTTCCAACAAGCAACATGCTGGGGAGTCACTTATCCATTCACGCCCGTAAACCTTTCTTGCGTGCGAGTGAATACAGGATCTGTGGTTTTTGGTGTTGCAAGTATTCTGGTTTCCGTTTGTGGTCTGAGTGGTATCTTCCATTAGGATTGAAGTGGCCTTTGGCTGAAAGCAGAAACACTGTCTGTGAGGAAACCCATCGGCTATCGTCTGACAACAATTAAGTCTTTCTAAAATGGGCTCTAAAATCAGACATCTTCATTAAGTTAGCTAACAATCTAATCACAGAATACAATCCCTACACACCCCCTTCCACATATTTCCACTCCGTTTGCATGTTTACATGGAGGCTGATTTGAAACCATATGAAGAGCCATCCAAAACTTCTGAGTGTGTAGTGGGACTGGACTTTAAACCATCCAATAGGGAGTCTGCACTGATGCTGACTTACTGAATGAGTGTTATGCCTTTCATTGTTCAGCATAGGAGATACAATCACACAGATGTAGAAAAACCTACTTATTTGACAAAGCCCCCCCCACCCCCCCCCAAAAAAACTGGCTGTTGCTCCCAGACAATACATCACCCTCTGAAAATATTCAAAATGTCCAAAGATTGTCTTTCTGTCAATGTTGTGGTTTGCACTATTAAGACTGGGAAAGTTTAGTCTCATCTGACATGAAGCAGTGTTTCTAAGCAACAGAGTGGCAGGCAGCCTGCGCTGTATTGTACGGTTAGAAAATAAGGAAGAGGATGACACAGAAAGGGTTCTTACGCCAGCTGTCTAACTTGTGAAAAGGCAAAAATATTTTGCAGCTGCGATGAGTGTTTATCCCCACAGCTGGATGTTTGCTAGTTTCATCATGGGAGAAATTCACAAAATCGGCAGCTGATATTTCTCCACTACCATGTCAAGCAACAGGTGATCCTATAAGGAGTCTCTTTCTGTAACACCACAGGGTCCCATCATTGTCTTTAGGAAGATGTATCCTTAGACATAACCATATCCATAACATATTATGCAAAAGAACATAGTAACCTTTTGCATGTTGCTGCTTTGATCCACATTATAACCATGCTTTAAGATGTACAATTATCTCAGCTAGAAGAGTCTTAAAGGGAAGACTCTCTCAGCTCTCGTTAATAATAATAATTTAAACTTTATAAAATCCTGTGAGGGGAAATTCATTTTTACAATTACATTTTTAATTCATGCTACACACACATAGGCCGGAATGCACACACATGCACAAACAGGATCCTATGGACATGCAATAATGGAGAGGTCTCAGAGTGAGGGGGCTGCCCACAGCGAGCGCTCCAGAGCAGTTTTGAGGTTCGGTGCCTTGCTCAAGGGCACCTGGGCAGTGCTCAGGAAGGAGTCTTGGTCCGTGCCGGGCTTGAACTGGCTGCACTCCGGTTCCCAAACCCAAGTCCCTACAGAATGAGCTGCTATTTCCGTGTTGAAAAATAAATGGGATAAGCATTTAATAATTTAAGGCTGTGGCAGCAATTAGCAGAAGTTGTAACCAAAGAGTTTGTTTCTAACCAGAAACCAATAAAGGGCTCAATAGTTTCAAGGAGTTGGTTTAACCTACATAGTGTTTTTGGAGGAATATATTGCGTTGACACATGGGGTTGCTTAAAAAAGCAAATGAAAGGGTAAAAAAGCCACAGAGACTGTGAGTTGGGCTGTAAACAACAGATGTGTGGGGAATAGTTGACTTATTAGTTTATTTTTACATTCCAGGCTGAGACAAGCTGCCCAAGCAGATGCCCCATGAAATCTCAAAATCTCTTCTACTATGGGAGTGAGTAAGGATTTTATTTTTTTGGTGTGTGTGAAACTTCACCAGGTGTTCAATGAGACCTCCCTCAAGGGAGCAGCAAGCGCTAAAGACACAGAAGTGGTTTCTGAAAAGTGGAATCCTAGAAAATAATATGCAGAGGGAATTGCAGCCAAAGAGTTATGTCAGTGTTATGAGCTTTAGGAGTTGTTGTTGCCAGACTTGAAGCTGGTCTGACTCCAGGCCAACATTGTTTCTGTTCACAGTGCACTATTTCACCACCAGGTCAGCATGTTTCACCTGCTTTTTATTTGAGTGGTTCAGCAAAAGCGACATAGCTTTATAAGTTTATTTTACATAATGCACCAGCTCCCGCTCACATATGACTCACAATTTGACCTTCCGTGTTTTGTTTCATCAATGTGTGGTGAGGGCTTTATTACTCAAGCGCATAATCTCATATTGAATATTACTTTATCCCCTCACTTCCCCCTTGTCCTCTTCCTCCTCTTGCACTTCTCTTTTGAAGGGCAGAGATGCCTCATCGGTTTTTTTTTTGGTTTTTTTTTATTAAAAAGGCTACAAAAATCAAGGCTGCACAGCTCAGCTTAATCCCAGCGCTGCCCACAGAGAAATACCCAACATCAAAATACAGAGTTCTGCAAAGTCGTGCTAGACTGCTTATGTAACTGTCTGTCAACCTCGGCGACAAGGCCTGATGTTACCGATGCTACAGAAAAGGGCAACATAAACTTTTGAGTGCATTTGAAAATGAGAATGAAAGCATGAATACAGCGATTTTATTAGATATTAATCATTACTTATTTTTCCAGCTGAGACATGTGACTTACAGACTGATGAGAGGGGGCGACCTGCATTTACACGGCCCTGTCAGAGGCAGGACTTATGTTTAACCAACTTATTGGGCTGTGGTGGAAAATATCTTTTGTTGTTACTTTAAAAACAACCAAAAACAGAACTTTGAGTCTTTCAAGAGATACACACCCCAAATACAAAAAGTACAGTACACAGTGCTGAAGTTTTGCAAAAAAAAAAAAAAATATTTATATTATAATTAATAATCCTCTTCTAAAATAAAGGTGACACTATGCACTAAAACCACAGCTTCTAAAAAGTTGTCACTTTTGCAGAGACGTCTGGGGAATCATGAAACAGGTGACCCCATTGTGACCCCATTCCTATTAGACAGGCATGCACACGCCAGCATCAGCATCCATGCGGGGCCTACACACCCACTCACTCACCATCTCCACCTGTCGCGGGTCCAGCTGGGTTGGCACGGCCGAGGGCACCGAGAACTGAATCTTCCTCCTCTCATCTTTGTCTGCCTCTCGGTCCATGAGCTGCTCCGTGTCTGAGGGCAGCAGCGGGTCCATGACACCCAGCGTGTCACCTCCGCAGCTGAAGCGCACAGATGACCAGCAAAATGAGAGTCCTGCTCCGGTTGAAGCTGTGGGAATCTGGAGTGTTTGAATGTTCTGTAAAGATTTAGCTGTTAGCGACCAGCGGTATCCTTGTGTGCTCTCTTTGCACTTGAGTTGCGTTTGACAGCTTTGCCTCTCTCTCTCTCTCTCTCTCTCTCTCTCCCTCCCTCCCTCCGTCGCGTTGTCTCCCTCTCTCTCTCTCTCTCAAGCGGACCTGTGCTGTTTGTGAGTAGGCTATAGTGATGGTGGGGGAGATCGTGCCAAAGCGGTATGATGCTTTCACTTGCCGTCGGAAAATTTGGTGCAACTACAAATTCAAAAAGTATCAAGGAAAGGGAAGCAATGGTTTCCCCCAGATTTGTGGCTGGAAAAAAATCTGAGATTTCTTCATTGTCACAAAATCATTATCTTTGAATTATACAGTATTTATAATGATAATTTAGTGTATTCATACAAATGAAACCTCATAAGGGTCTGTCTTTTGAAATAAAATTATTCACTGACACCTATATTAACTTTTACTTTGAGATTTGCTTCAAATGCATTATAAATAAAATGTAGCCTATATCATTATTATTGTTGCGTCACATCAGATGATAACTGTTCATATCGATAACAGTATTGTATTGGCCTCCTATAGTTGCTTTAATGCGCAACACAGTATCAGTTAGTATTACTATTAATGTTATTATGTGACATAATAACATCAACAAGTGCAGCAGAGCAGTTTAAACCCCACATGTATTATGTAGGCTACGTTTTAGATCAAACTAGTATCAGAGGGTTGACACATTAGTCTGAGTAATCATTTTGCATTTTGAGTTGAACTGTGTGGGTGAGAAATACAGAAGGACCAAAGACACCAGCATCCAGAGCAAAGTGTGTTTGTTGTGTTTCAGTAGAACCTGGTAACAGTGTCATGTCACACATTTCTAAAAAAGAGCTTGGGTTATTTTTGGGTGTCTCTTTTGTTATTCTTCTGTTATAGCACACTATACAAGAGTTAAATAACTTTGGGATACAGATTTCTAAAGTGTACCAGATATCTGTTCAACTCTAGCTCATATAAAAATATAGATTATACATTTACAACCAGAAATGCTACAGAATAAAAGATCTGCTAAAGGCAACTTGAGCTCAAATCTTTGTTACTTTTTCCAGTTAGAAAAGAAAAGAAATAGGCCTATCTGTTGCACATACTGTGTCGGATTTGGAGGTTTTTAACGTTTCATGTGTCGTCTGAAAAGGTTGAGAGCACATCAGTCCAATTTTTCTGACATTTAGAATTTTTGATTTTTGCAGTGAGGGCTGTGAGATGGGTGTGTTCAAGCAGACCCCTCCTCACTCTTACGGTTATGAATTCTGAGATTGTTGTTGTAAAAGTCCTCCGTCCCTAAAACGTTCAAATGTGTGTTTTAAAATGTTTCTCCAGTTAGTCGAAAATAAGTCTCCTCTTTCTCCTATAGTTACCTTACACATATCATATGTTCTTTATATATAGAAGCGGGAAATTCAGTTGGGAAATCCATCGCCATGGCAACATGTTCAGTGCAGTGTGTATGGATGTGTTGGTGTGTGTGTGAGTGCTAAAGGTAAGTTGGATGAGAGGTAAGAGAGCATGAATTTGTATGCAAATGAGCAACAAAAAGATGGGATATCATGCTTTTTATTGAATGTCAATCAGTTAGCAATACAGTGGAAGCTCCTGGTCATATATGCAAACAAAACACTGCTTTAGAAAACTGTAACTATGCTGCACCTGAGGAAACAGGAGAGTGGGACATGCTTTATATGAGAGCTTCACACATTGTTTTCATGGCTTACTGTACAATTTCCTCCCAGCCTCGAGATCACCTCCTCTCAGATCTCCTGCAGTTAGACCGGATGAAGAAGCAGACCATCACAAGAGGTCATTTGACCTTAGTTTGCCCCCAGAAGACCAAAGGTTCAACCTGCATTTATAGGTGAACCTGTGAGGCGTTGGCTCTCTGTGACAAGATAGACATTTAGATGAAGATAAAATCTTCAGCTTTGGAAATTCAAAAGGACAATATGTGGCTCGATTGATTTTCAGATGTCCTTGAAAAATGCTAAAACATAAGAGCTGTTATGAGCCTTCGCAACACTATGCTATGACCTGAATGTAAAGGAAATATTTCCAATGAAAATGAGAACAGGTTTGTATGTTAAACAACACTCCTTTGTTACATTCAATCACCCAGAGAGCATGAAAAAGCACTGCGCTGAAGAGGAATTATCTATAGGATTACAGTATTATATCCACAAAAGATAAAGTGTGATCCATCAGTGTATTATCAATAATGTGGTGACTTGCTGTTTGCCAAAGTCAGAGTGTCTTTTTACTTTTCACCACTGGGTGGCGACAATAGTTTACCTACCTGCTATACATACAGTCGCATGGATGACATCTATCAAAGGCCAAAATATACAGAGGAGCATATATAAATATTACGGAGGATATGTGACTAAAACGTGTTCTTTTATTTTTCCATCATCGTTTTCTTCAATGAGTGAAAGTATTAGCACGCTTACTGCAGGTCATTCGTCCAATCGGATAAAAAGATCTGTTGCCCTAAGTAAACATACTGGAATTAGATTTATTGAAGTAAGCTTAGCATTTGGAAATTATAATATTAACTCTAAATATCTTCAAAAATGAACAAACGATGGGAGAGAAAAATGTATTAAGCAAAAGTATTTTACCCTTGAATAACGCACACATACACAAAATATCAGAGTCTTATTTTTCAGGGTCACAACGCTGTCATTTTTTCTTTGATAGCTGCTTTTAATTATAAAACGAGCAAGACAATGACACAAGAAACACATGACCCCTGCAGTAATATCTTAACCAGAAATGTGGTTGATTCACCCTCTATATGTTGGGTAACAGTGAAAAGCTTTAATTGCTATCTTTGGGTTTTATCAAACCAGAAATACTATTTAAGTAAACACCTAGGTTTGGTTATCTAACAACCCAGTGTATAGGTAATATTCATCCAAGCACTGAGGTTAAAATCACCTAGAGCTTGGGTGATATCAACAACCTAGTGTATGGGTAATATTCAACCCAGCATAAGGGTTAACTTTAACCTCCAAGTTTGGTTTTCTTGACAGCCCAGAGTATTAAGGCCTAAGGGAACTGGTTTAGCTCAGTTGGAGGCTGTCGTCCTCAACTACATCAAACATCAAAATCATCATTGAGTGGATAGGTGTTCATGAAAGAGCTCTGCAGATCGAATAGTTTGGTAGTTTGTTCCACCACCGGGGGGCGACAGAATAGAAGAGTCTAGAGACTAGAGACTAGAGACTTCAGATCAGATGCCTTTCATTGGCAGAGAGTATGTTGGTGGGAGGGAGTAGACCTGGATGATAAAGTTTAGGTAAAGAAGAGCTGTTGAAGTCGCTGTTTAGTAAGCAAGATTTTTGGATACGAATCGCTTCAACTTTGTATCATTAATGTATTAGCAGCATATTTGATGTTGATTGCAACGACTGAAAATTTAACCCAACATTGAGGATACATTGGGTTATTTCAACAACTCAGCATTCAGGGTTTAAAAGGCACAACAACCCCACATCTGCCAAAACTATCCCAGGGTAGCGACCTATGGAGGGAGGGGAAACCTGGGGTATTTGTTACCTAGCTGTTTTTTTTTTTTTTTTGACTGTCAAGCCCCCTGCGTTTTTTCTGTCCCATCGTGACCCAGAAGGTGAAAGTTGAGGTGTTTTTGACCCAACATTTTTTTGGAGTTTATTAGTAGACTAACGCATCCATAACGCCTGTCCATATATTATTCAAAACATCCATTTTAAAGGGTGACATCACTGTAATGTCCCCCCCCCCTGCAACTACTTCTAAAATGAGCCATGGGATGAGACCATAAAAGCCCCCATGCAGTAATATTCAATCCAGCTACCCTTGAAGCAACAATGCATCAGAATAAGAGCAAAGCATCAGAGGGACACTATGATGACATTCTTTGATGACAGTATATCAATGTTAAATGTAATTAGACATATTCACACTGGTCACGCGATACACACACGATTACCCTCCATCTCTCGATTTCTGAATATTTCTGCTGCCTTCACACATTGGCTCACCCAGACTTCACGCAGAAAGTTTACAAGAGGGGCTGTCTATGTAAAGGTGGGGCTGATAAACTCACCCATTTACGATACGATACACTTTATTGTCCCCTGTGTGTTTACAGATGGAGCTCATCCCGAATATGTGGGGACATTTTTAGGAATGTTGTGCCTGTGTGTGAAAATAGCTTTAGTCAGATTTGTTTTCCTGACTCCATGCACTTTTACCAGTTTACCACTAGATGTCACCAACAATAAGCTTATGGAAACTCAAAGGGAGACTCCTTGCCCCTGCCATGTAATTGATTGTTAATGAGCAGAGCAACATTATCTTACAGCATATTTAATGGTTGCTTAAAAAAAAGATGAATGATGAATAATGACATTAAAATTGGGTTCCACATTGGGCTTTAACTTCAAAACTAGTCTTGACCTCTACATTTTTTTAAAGACACTGAATATGTCAACAAAATTAAGCTGACTATTTGGGCTTACGCTGTTAACCCTATTAATACAGTTTATTTAAAAGTCAGTTTTTTGTTAATCATTTGAAAAATACCACACTAACAAGAGCTTTGTGCATGTCAACAGTTTATCGCTTTATGTAGGGAACAAACAAGAACACCTCAAAAACCAGAGAAGAAAACAACATTTTCAATAAATATTGAATAACTGAGAAATTTGAATACGTCATCAGCCCTTTCGATATTTTGTGCTCAATTTTATTAATGATGCAATGTTAAATTAAATAGACTTATAATTTGACTGTTAGTCATGAAATTGTTATTTAAAAAAATACATTTTAAGAACAATTTGCATCGAAAATCGGACTTTTTGGACTAAGAAATCGAAACTCAAACTTACATAAGCAGTTACGGTGAACACACATACACTTGTTGTGTTGAGGCCCTGGTTCTACAGCACATCTTCATTAGCAAACGATTGGGCTGGACAACCAGAAAGACTTTGATCTAACAATTTCAAACATTGATAATCAGAAACTGTACAACATTATTGTCATGGTAAACCTTCCCCCTTTCTATTTCGTCATTCTTATTCTGTCCCCCTCTTCCTCTCTCTCTCTCTCTCTCTCTCTCCTCGCTCCTGTCCTGCCCCATCCTCTGGCCCCTCTCCGCAATCTGTGCTTCTGCCACCTTTGGCACGAGCCCGCCCACGTGCACCTGTGCCAACCTGGCAACCCGGACCAAGACGCTTCGCTTGGCTCAGTTCAATTGACTCGTTTAGGCAATTGCACCCTGACTCTGATCTTTATTGCCGGTCCCTTATTTATCCCGGGCCCTTTGTGTTATATTGTTACGTTGTATGAATTTCCTTTATTTCGCTTCAAAATACTTCTACCGGGATTATCTTAATTGTTCTCGTTATTTCATATAGCAATAAATGAATTACTTCCTCTACGGATTATTTGCATTAATGAGAATTTCCTTATCTGTAAAAGTCATATCCTATGTGTAATCCTCTAACAATTCAATGATATGAGAACGCTATCATTCTAAAATTAATCATTATAGGATTGTGATAATTATTTCTCGTAAAGGGATTGTTTGCCTAAACCTTCCATGAGATTAACCCCGTTTCTCCCAAAGATGGAGGCTTACAGAAGCTTTTTCCAATCCAGTTTGTGTTTTTTGTGCCATTCACTCCTTATTCCATTTTCTCTTTCAGCTCGGTGACAGATGGCGAGTCCCTCTCCCCCGGGGGGAAGCCAGTCTCTGTGAATGCGGCCGCATGTCAATCACCGGCTCTCATGTGATGGCTCTTGCCAATGACGTGCCAGCCATATGGGCCTGGCATCAGAGCTGGTATGTAACCCACCCAGTCCTGCCTCTGAGGTGCCACATGCACGGATCCCCTCCGCGCATTCAGCGGGCTCAGGATAGCAGCAGCAGAAGAAGAAGGTGAAGAAGGAGAGAGAGAGAGAGAGAGAGCGAGAGAGAGAGAGAGAGAGAGAGAGAGAGAGAGAGAGAGAGAGAGAGAGAGAGAGAGAGAGAAGAAACATAGATCTAGATCGTCTCCTCCTGCAAAAGCATCCGCGCATGCAGGGCGTGTGGATGTGATGCCCACCCAGAGAGAGATGGTGTAAACAAACCTGCTTCACCCCGTCACTGAGCTCCATCACGGAGGTAGGTTCAAACATTTTACAATTAAACTTCACCATCAGATGAAGATCAATGTTACAATTTTGTCTTTGTTTGAACGCCTAAAGGACAAGACGGAGAGATAATGATCAAATCAGGGATGGTTTTTCAATGCGTTTTTCTCTCATGATGCGACGTGATCAGACAGATTTAACGCTCTTCTTCAGGCGGTTTTTAAGTGTTGGTTTTATCAAATAGCCTTTTAATCGTTTACTGGAGTAATCAATTGATACATTTACTTTGAGTGTATTCTGTTTAAATAGATAAGACAGAAAAGGGCTACTCTGGCACTGATGTATTTTCTTCACCATCTTCTTCTTATTTTGCATTATTGTCAATATTAAGCTTGGGAGCACATTTATATTGAAGTTTATGGCAAAATTGTACATTAAAAAACATCAAGATGTTAGAGTGTGTGTGTGTGTAATTATGAGTGTGTGTATGTGTGTGTGTGTGTGTGTGTGTGTGGGGGGGGGGTGTTGGTGAGCGTGCGTGTGTGTCTCACAGCACGGTGGGGGTTGAATTCTCCACAGACACACACAGGCTAATTGACAAGGTATTGGTTGGCATTAATTACATTGTGCTTACAAGATTAGAAAAAAAAGATGAAGTCCTTGGGCTCCACCTGCACAGCTGAGCTCAGTGCATTCTGGAAAAACCTGGGAAATGTTGAAACATCACAGATTTTATAAGGATTTTGAATTGGATTACTTCAAATATGGATGTGGAGTTTTAAAGTAACAGAGATGTGCAAATATTTCATTAAAACTGGCCTGCGATTTGAATACGACTTTGATTTTTTTTTTTTTTTTTTTTTTTTTTTAAATGCAGATTTAAGCCAAATCAAAGAAAGGAATAAGGCTAGTTGATAAAGTCAAGAAGGTTAACATGGGGTGACATCTAAAACACACTCCATGTCTTGATCTCAGACCTTAATAAGCTATTGAAAATGTTCAATTCCGTGGCCTTCGAGGTCTCACGAGGGGTTATTGATTTGGCTTGAGGAACCAACAGGAGCGCTTTTTTCAAAAATAGTTATTATAGTGTTGCACTTTCAGATATATTTCAACAATGATAATGATGTTCCTTTTTAAGTTACAGGAATCATCTGTAGGGATGTTTTTTGAATACATTTTCTCGAAAGCAGATTCTAGAATAACCTGTTCGGTTCATTCGGATGTATGGGTTGTCCGGAGTGCGGCCTGTCTGGCTGTGCTGGAATTCCTCCAGATCTGTAATTTATTGGACGGAGGGACCCGCGCCCTTAATGCGTCCCTGGAGGCCGAACTGAGACAGGCCAGCAGCACCGCTCCCTGTACGGGGACTGCGGGTGGACAAGAGAGCGAGGCTCATGAGGAGGCCGAGGGGACATCCACTCTGTTGCTCTTTGTCAATAAAAGTGACAGATTAAAAACATTACAAAAAAAAACAAAAAACGAGTATGCATTCTTTCAGTAATCTTTCTTTAAACAATATCCAAATGAGGTACAATATAACACAAATTTAAAAAAAACAAAGCTTTCAAGGCTTACACGTTTTCAGGCCTCAGTGAACCCGTTCTTTAGTCATATATTTGATCTTTTTTTAATTAAACCTGAATTGGGATTTTTTTTTTATGTGACACGTAAGGTGACAACATTTTAATCAGAAGGCTATTTCTCGAGATAAACATACATCAGACGTACGGATTTTGAGGAGCATTTATTGTCTGATTTATTCATTAAAAGATGAAAGAAACGCTTTTACGTTGTAGGAAAAAAAAAACCGGTGTAAACACGAATAAGGACATTTTCTCGTCTGAATCAGTCATTCGATTAAACAATTACTGGACGTTTAAAACACACTTAGTATATTTCCCCCTGTGTGAGGGACATACACAACATTACGGCCTTGGTGACATCGCTATAGGCAGGCTCTGTGACAGCGCACCTGTGGGTGCATGAGCAGCAGCAGAGTGGCAAACAGTCCTAAAGCTCCACCATGTGTCTCTTTGCAGGTTGCTTGCACGATGTTGAGCCGTCTGTTCAGCGAGGTGCTACCGGACGTCCAGAGGCTGGCGGCCGACTGGGCGGAGGACAATGAGAGCGAGGACTGCAAAGCCAAGGACGACGAGCACGACGACGACGACCTGGACGAGCCGCTGGAAGGCAGCAGCCGAGCAGAGTCCGAGATGGCCGGCGACGACGACGACGACGATGACGATGACGAGGCCGAGGAAGAGGAGTGCGATGATGAGAACGGTGGAGACAAACCCAAGAAGCGCGGCCCAAAGAAACGCAAGATGACGGCGGCGCGCGTGGAGCGCTCCAAGGTGCGCAGAATGAAGGCGAACGCGAGGGAGCGCACGCGCATGCACGACTTGAATTCAGCGCTGGACAACCTGCGCAAAGTGGTGCCATGTTACTCCAAAACGCAAAAACTGTCCAAGATTGAGACTCTGAGGCTGGCCAAGAATTATATTTTAGCGCTTGGGGAGATTTTACGCAACGGGAAACGTCCAGATGTAGTGACCTACGTGCAGATGTTGTGCAAAGGCCTGTCCCAGCCCACCACTAATCTGGTGGCAGGATGTCTGCAGCTCAACACCAGGAACTTCCTAACTGAGCCATGCTCAGAGGGTGCCCGCTTCCACATGCCCACCTCTCCTTTCTCTGTACATCCCTACTCTTACCGCTGCTCCCGCCTCTCCAGTCCACACTACCAGCCCGGATCCGGTGCAATTAATATGCGGAGCCATTCCTATGGTTCTGGGTACGAGGGTGCGTATCCCCCGGGTGGGACGTCCCCTGACTATAACAGCCCGGACTACGAGGGCCAGCACAGCCCACCCGTCTGCCTGAATGGCGGGATGTCCGGGAGGCAGCAGGAGTCCTCTGACACGGACAGGAACTATCATTACTCTATGCATTACACCGGACTGACCACATCCCGGCCCAGCCACAGCATCCCGTTCGGGCCTACGGGTGCGCGCAGCGCAGGTGCGCACTCCGAAAACATTCCACCTTTCCACGATGTGCATTTGCACCACGACAGGGCGCCCCCGTATGAGGACCTTAACGCTTTTTTCCATAACTGAGCCCTTTCAATCAGACCTGTAGACCTTAAAGTGACAATCCCAAAATGTGTAATATTGTTTGTGGAACAAGAGAAGCTTCTGGAAGGAGGAGGCAGACAAAGTCCCCTGATTTCCTTCTGTATTCTACTGATGTCATCCCTATACTGTGTTACATCCTATCAAAGTGTGTGCACTGCAGCAATCTCCTGTATGCAGAATGAGTGCAACTGGCATAAACCATGTACAGGCCAAACATGTTATGACACAAACAGCAGAAATAAAGTGTTTTATAATTGTGTGATATGATTGAAAATAATCTTTTTCTGAAATCAGGGCGACTTTAACTTCGGGCTGTGTGGGCCTAAAGAAGTGATTAGATCATCTTAAAAATGCCTATACTTGCAAAATGATAAAAAAAATGTTAGAAAGAAGTAATGACAAAACATTTTTTTTAAAGTAAATAAAAATAATCGAATAGAAAAGTAATTAAGATAGTCTTAACTGGCATGTTGAAAAACATTCAGCATTAAAGGTTTTGTTGTCTGGAGGGTGTAAAGTCTTCAGTGTTACACTTATCATGTAAACATTTATTTTGCTTAGTTTTGGTCTAAGGTAATATTTATTATAATTCCGTTTTTAATTTTCCACTTATTTATTCTTCATTCATGTGTGAATTGTGTGAACATCTCAAAATAAGAATGAATTTACTTCTATATAAAGTAATACAGTGATGCGTAGAGTCATGATAGCAGGAGGCTCATTACACACAGAACATTATTTAAATTAATTTGATTCATATGAAGAATATGGAGAATAAAACAGATACCCAAAATAATGTGACAAGATAAAGGTCTGAAGTAGAAGTACTGTATTTTAGAGAGCTCCAATAATTGATGTTAAACTTGACAACATTCTTTCATTTGAATAATCAAACACTGACTTTGTGACAGTTAAGATTCAGAAATCAGAGACATTGGATTCACACACACACACACAAATAAAAAAAAAATTCAAACATGAACTGTATGCTCCAGTAATAATAATAAATAAACAATCTTAATCAGGTAATTTAATCGTACCTTCCATCTTGGAATTAAATGAAGCTTTAAACCTTGTTAATTAGACCACCTCAACGTAAGGGCTGCATCCTTCAAAACCGTGCAAAAGGTATGCACCATCAGACTTGTTGTGTCATTATTAAATTATTGAGATTTAGAAGGTTTGCTGCACAGCAGCAAATGGGTAGTATGCATTGGCACACACACCCATGAATTATAACAACCGACGAAACAAAACTCCAGACCTCTTAATGAGTGAACAGCCACTGAGAACCTACAACAGATCATTTGAGTTTGTTGTAAGAGAAAACAAAATCCAGGCTGGAGGGTTTGGAGCATTGATACAATCAACAAAATGTTCTCACTTATCAGCACACATAAATGGTTTTTACTTGACTGCACTCTCTGAAACAAACACAGTCTTAGAAGCCGGATTAAAAGGCAGTGTGATGCTTGGATTGATCTTTTTTTTACCTTTGTTTTGTAAAGTGTGTGTTCTTTAACTCAAACACTTCACACACATTTTATGATGTGCTGTGATGAGTTAGTAGGTGAACAAAAGGCCTCGGTCACTCCCAACAAGAGACAAAAAATAACAGTTGAAATGCTGAACATAATCAGTTAGATTTTATATCAAAGGGCTCTATTGTTTTTTGTGTTTTTTCAGCACAGTGATGGAAGTCGTGGGTCTGATCATAACAGCACAGTTTGAGTCAGACTGAGACCTGTCAGACTCTCAGCTGAGTGGAGATAATAGTTTTTTTTGTGACAAATTATAATACTGACATAAAGATTTAATATCAGCACTAATCAAAATGACTAAATAAGTACAAGCTTTCAAAAGCATTCACTTTTTAAAACCAATTAACATTAAGTAATAAAAATCAAGTTTCAAACTAATCTTCACTCAACCCGTTCATTTGTGTTTTTGAAGAATGAATACAGGCTGTTCAAAAAGACAAATTGATGCTTATTACTGTTCTGCTTTTTTATTATTTTAACTATGTCTTCATTTGACAATTTAAGTTAAAGTTTGAGTTTTTTTTAAGGTACATCAAATCACTATTGCTTTCTCAAATAGTGAGAGCAGGCTCCCTGTTTGGACCTCTGCCCTGGGTCCCATATGTTACTGAGGACGTCCAGGGGAAATCAGCACCGGGCACCACAGGGTGCAAATCGTCCTATCCAGCACTGACCCGGGAGAGAAAAAAAAAGGAGCAGAAGACATGTGAGCAAATTCTACGGCAAGCTATTACACTTATCAAATAATCCTGGTGATAATATTTTCTTTTTACATTGGCTGAATTGTTTTCTCTAAAAAGGCCCATCTGGCTGTGGGCAGCAGTGTTAGAGCTGCAGGTGCACAATCAGGTGAGTCAACGGCCCGCTGGTTTGAAATAAGGGGGTCCAGAGATAACATCGTGGACACATACATGAATGCATGGAAACACATTCACATTAACCATGCATCAGATATTAAAAACACAAACCAAATGGTAACCTGATAATATTTAAAGATAAATAATAAACTAAACTAAAAAGTTAATGGATGGAGAGGATGAAAGTTATCTGGCAGAAAAGCAAATAGCTCCCTTAAACTTGTAACAAAGATGTTTAAATGTGTGAATATGTCAATTTTGTCATCTTACTTTTTAACCTAAATAACAGCTTTACTCTTCTGTGACATCGACAATATATCTATGATAATTCACTATTAGCCTGAAAGATAAATTGGTTATAAATACTTTTGTTTTGTTTTTAGGAAGGCTAACATGTGTGTAATTACAAGAAGAAATTGACATTAAGTTTTCCTTCACCAAAATGAAAACCCCAAATATACTGTAGTTCAATTCTTAATAAATATAAATAATTTAGAGGCAGTTATAATCTCTTTTCATCCTTTAAGGTCAACCATTTTTTCACGAGGTATAACTCACGTTAATCAGTGTGATTCTTTAGATCAGCCACAGGTTATTACAGTTTGTAAAATGTTTCTTTCAGTTTAAAAAAAGAAAAAAAAGGTTTGATATTCGATTTTATTTTGAAATTACAGGATCGGGCTTTTCATTTGGCGATTTCATTTGTATTTTTTTTTTTTTTTTAAACACAGATGAGAAACAGCCTACCTGCAACAAGGACACTTGTAGGAGTGGATGATTGTTCCTATCAATGTTCAGTCATTTAATTATTTAAACATTTCAATGTTTCAGAATAAATTCATTTTATAAAACCCTGCATGTGTGATAACTCGCGGATTATATTCCAGTGTTAGTGGTCTCTGTAATCTCGCGGTCCCGGGTAAAGGACGGGCCTCGGAGGTTAAGGTGAGAGCCTCATCTCTGATCTGCTTTCCGGCTCTAACCTCTCACTGAGTCGGTGGACTTTTCTAAGTGAAGAGGGGCGGCGGCTGGCAGAGGGTCTGATGGCGGAGCTCGTGCCAAGTCGCTAAATGTCTGAGCACCAGTAAAGCCAAAGACCAGCAAAAGCCCACCACCGTCACCGAGCCGGTGCCAGCTGCGCCACGTGGCAGCCAGGCGGCCCCTGCCAAAGTGGCCCTTGTGGGAGGGACCCAGTATTTCTTTCCTAATTCACTCAGCATCTGTTCATTATTCTCCGCCGTTAAAGGAGGCCGAGTGTCCGCACGCGCTGTCGGACCAATAGACTTTTTTTTTTGTTTGTTTGTTTGTTGTTGTTTCACTTCCGGTCACGCACATTTGCACGAGACTGCGGAGGGGCCAACGCGTGAAACTAATTGAACACTTGTGCGAGGTTAAAGAGGAGTTTTGTTAGTCCTGTCATTCCTTTCTGCGGCAGTCTTGAAAACTTTAATCTCAATTTTCGGTCCACTATATATATATATATATACATATATATATTATTTAGGCTACATCCAAAGCTTCTAAATTAAAACCCTATAGTCTAATTTATTTTAAGGCTTTCATTCAGTATTTTCTTTAATAGGCCTACGTGGATAAAATAACGAAAACGTTATGAAAATTTTAACTTGAATTTTTAACCCTGTGTGCCTGCATGGATCTTAAATTAAAGGAATAGATAATTCTTCATTTCGAGGTGTAGCCTATTTTGGCTGACATCGTCATGTAATGCTATATGGTCATTATAATATCTGTGACAAATGTGCTTACATAACGTAACTAAAGCCCATAAAATCAATTAACTGGGATCCTATTCAAGCGTAATTATTCCAATGAGTGTTTTATTATAAAATACCATGCAATCACTGTAATTAAATAATCCGGTGCAGAGCTCCATTTGAAAAAAAAAAAAAAAAAACGTCAAACATGATCTGCTTAAACTGCAGCACAGTAGAAACAACAACACAAAGTAGGCCCAGACCTACAGTAAATAAATCTCCATCTGGACAGTTTTTACAGCCATTTATCAGATTAGGTGCACATTTATGGAATTAATTATTTTGGGATTAATCTTGGAAAAAAATATTTCAGGAGTGTAATCACTGCATGTAAATAGCTGAGAGTCATTAGTATTGCAGGACATGAGGTTGGCAGAGGTGAAAATCAGATTTAAAGAAACATCAAGGCAAGAATGCATATATTGAAGATAAGTGATAAAAGTGTGTGTGTGTGTGTGTTAATCAGGTCACAGAAGAAAGCTCTACATTCAGTACATCCAACTTATTTTTGTCTGAAACAACCCTTTAACAAACACACCTGAAGAGCACCACAAAAAAAAAAAACACTAGACAAGCTTTTGGCTGCACATGTTAAATCTGGGAGTCACCTCCAACAATGGGCATTAGGTGCCACCGTATCATGCTCATCCACCTACTCTGAATAACTGCATCCTCCCACAATCACCACCAGCACCATCCTGCCAGCCTGAGCGCCACGCCCAACTCTGTTAGTAGAGAGATAGAGCTGGCATGGGGTGAAATTCCACTGCATCTGTGGAACAATGGTGGTTGTGATTGTGTGTGTGCGTGTGTGTATGTAATTGTGTGATTGTACTCCCAGAATTCCCTGCTTGTGACAAACTGTCTTTGTGTGTTACAAGTAATAAAACATGTAGAAGGTGTGAATATCAGACCTCACAGTGGTTTTTTTGTTTTAAAAAAAGGGAGAGAAAGAATAGCAGTGATATCATATAGACTTGATTTGGGGTGAAAAAAAAAGCACATATGCGCATGAATGAGTATTTGTCATGTTTGATGTGTGTGATTGCCCAAGTGTGTGTGTGTGTGTGTGTGTGTGTGTGTGTGTGT